ACTACATAAATATTTGTTGCAAACTTGAGACTCCTGACCCGTTGCTATTTATTTGCCGACGAAACAAAACTCGATATTTCAATGGGTTGTTTTTTCTCCACTATTTCCGTGTACATTAAAATGCCTCACCAGTTTCTAAAAACAAACAACAAACAAACAATAAACAAAAGCAGGCCAAGACCCCGGTTCTCCCCTCCCGACCCTCAAAGACTTTATCAAAACAGCGCAACAATGCCGTAACCACAGACTGAAAACTTGAATCACTTCCCGGCCAGCTAGCCCGGTACATAACAGACGCTGAGCTGTTGGCATGTCTTTGATGCAAGCCGCCGTGGTTACAACATACACAGTTTGCTCCCCTTGTCTGAGCATTTCACCAGATGGCACGAGCTCACAGGCAGTCATCAGACAATAGGACAATAGACTCGTTAACGCTAGGTGTGGGGACCAAACTCCAATAATATTTACTTTGCATAAAGACCTGCTTCTATATATCTTTTGAAATAATGAACAAAGGCACGTCAAGACTCTGGTTCTCACCTCCGGGTCCTCTAAGAACATGTCAAAACACAGCAACAATTCCTTAATCAGGGACAGAAAACTTCAATCACTTCCCAACCAGCATGCTGAGTATATAAGGGACGCTGGTCAGTATGTGGTCACTTTTCTCTGGACGTTCCAAGGATACGCATCGTGTGCGGAGACTATCATCGTTTCATATCACCGAAGTTGCAAGACACAGCATGGATGCCGTTGAACAGCACGACGCTTTTTTCAACTCCTTTAACCTGGTGAGAGGCCCCTGTCTAGGGAGTGGCGCCTTAGGAGATGTTGTTCTGGCCTCGGCCAAACACAACTCGTCGTTGAAGGTGGCGGTGAAAATCGTATCTTTTGAGACGGAGGAGTGTGTAAGCGACTTTCTCTCTGAAGTCGGCTTCCTGCGTGATCTGCGCCACCCCTGCATCCTCAAGATGATAGCGTTTGCTATGGATGATCACAACGGCTTCATGTTGTCGACATACTTCAAGAACGGCACACTTCGCGACACCATGTCGTCCGACCCCCCTGTGGAAGAACCACGGATCCTCCGACACATTCTCGACGTGGCCAGCGCTCTGCAGTACATCCACGGTCTCCACATCTTCCACCAAGACGTCAAGCCGAGAAACATCCTCTTGGATGACCAGGATCGGGCTGTTCTGGCAGACTTTGGACTGGCAAGACAGGCAAGCGACAGCTCCGCGATGGTGATGAAGTGGGAGACTACACCCGGCTATTACGGACCCGAGACAAGGAAAAGGCGCCTATGAGTCCTTTCAAGGTAAGAATAAGTTCCTTTTTTTAAATCTCTTTTTTGTGGTCTGTCTTTTACCCGTTGCGCGCTCTCTCTCTCTCTCTCTCTCTCTCTCTCTCTCTCTCTCTCTCTCTCTCTCTCTCTCTCTCTCTCTCTCTCTCTCAATCTCTCTCTCTCTCTTTTTCTCTCTCTCTCTGCGTCTTTGTTCCCCCCCTCTCTCTCTCTCTCCCCCCCCCCTCTCTCTCTCTCTCTCTCTCTCTCTCTCTCTCTCTCTCTATTTCTCTTTCTATTTCTCTATGTATAATATATTAATTATATGTATTCATTATGTATACCGAAACTTTTAAAATGATAATGTAGAACCTGTATATATCTTTCTCTGTCTCTCTGTCTCTGTTTTTCTCTCACTCTCTCTCTCTCTCTCTCTCTCTCTCTCTCTCTCTCTCTCTCTTTCTCTAAGTATATGCGTATAATTATGTACACAGATATCTTTTTTATCATAACATATAACATGTATTTTGTCAGTATTTTACCCCTTCTTCTCTCTTGTGAAGCGCATAGAGCTTGCTGTTGAGCAGGGATTTGCCCTATAAAAATGTTATCTTTTATTATTATTTATTGTTTCTCTCTCTCTCTCTCTCTCTTTCTCTCTCTCTCTCTCTCTCTCTCTCTCTCTCTCTCCTCTCTCTCTCTCTCTCTCTGTCTCCTCTCTCTCTCTCTCTCTCTCTCTCTCTCTCTCTCTCTCTCACACACACACAAACACACAAGCACACTTTGTATGCATTATGTGTAACATTATGTATACGCGTACACATGTAAAACGTGTATTCATTATGTGCACAGAAATATTTTAAATTTTAATTTAAAACGTGTATTTTGACATTATTTTACCCTTTACTCTCTCTCTCTCTCTCTCTCTCTCTTTCTCTCTCTCTCTCTCTCTCTCTCTCTCTCTCTCTCTCTCTCTCTCTCTCTCCTCTCTCTCTCTCTGTCTCCTCTCTCTCTCTCTCTCTCTCTCTCTCTCTCTCTCTCTCTCTCTCACTCTCTCTCACACACACACACAAACACACAAGCACACTTTGTATGCATTATGTGTATCATTATGTATACGCGTACACATGTAAAACGTGTATTCATTATGTGCACAGAAATATTTTAAATTTTAATTTAAAACGTGTATTTTGACATTATTTTACCCTTTACTCTCTCTCTCTCTCTCTCTCTCTCTTTCTCTCTCTCTCTCTCTCTCTCTCTCTCTCTCTCTCCTCTCTCTCTCTCTCTCTCTGTCTCCTCTCTCTCTCTCTCTCTCTCTCTCTCTCTCACACACACACACACAAACACACAAGCACACTTTGTATGCATTATGTGTATCATTATGTATACGCGTACACATGTAAAACGTGTATTCAATATGTGCACAGAAATATTTTAAATTTTAATTTAAAACGTGTATTTTGACATTATTTTACCCTTTGCTCTCTCTCTCTCTCTCTCTCTCTCTTTCTCTCTCTC